ATATATGAAAAGTTAAGTGACATCAAAAATTACCATTGAACATATACTTTTAAAGAATAATGTTGAAATAACTAGATAATCATTTGGGTAAAAGTAAAAATTGGGTCCATATCTCACACTGAATATCAGAATGAAATCCAAATAATCCAGATATCTAAATGTGAAAGGTGAAATCACAGAATAAAACAGGAATTCACTTCATTATAAACTTAGAGTGAGAAATGCCTTTCTAGAGATGATTACAAATCCAAAAGCATTGAAAAAAATAATAAAAGACTGACAAATTTAACTACATAAAAATAAAAAGAATTTGTTCAAAGCAAAAAAAGGAAAAGTAATAAAACAAATTTAAAACTTGAAAGAAATATTTGCAATTTATAACACAAAGTATATCATAAGCTCCTAAATAATAAACAGCTCTTAAAAACTGAGAAGAAAGGTACTAAATACCAGTTGAGAAAAGATGTAAAGAGACAGTTAAAAAAAAAAAGCAAGCAATTGTCCTTAAACTTCTGAAAAAGGCTGACTTTCCTTATAATAACATATAGGCATACAGACATCCCTCAGAAATATTGCAGGAAATATTACACACAAATTTGAGGTTTCCAAGTGCATATAAAAGTTATGTTTACACTATATTGTAGTCTATTAAGTGTGTAATAACATTACATCTAAAAAAGCAATGTATATACCTTAATTTTAAAGTACTTCATTGCTAAAAATGCTAACAATCATCTAAGACTTCAGTGAATCATAATATTTTTTTGTTAATGGTCTTACCTGTATGTTGATGGTGGCTGCTGAAGATTGTGGAGGCTGTGGCAATTTCATAAAATAAGTCAACGGAAGTTTGCCACCTCAGTTGATTCTTCCTTTCACAGAAGATTTCTCTGTAGCATTCTATGCTTTTTGATAGCATTTTACTCAGAGTGAAACTTCTTCCAAAATTAAAGATGGAAGAATGGTCAATTGGTGGAGTAGTCAGAATACACACAATATTTATTAAGTTCAACATGCTTCATCTTGCCCCAAAACAATTAAAATAGTAACGTCAAAAGTCATTGGTCACAGATCACCATAATAGGAAACAAGTTTGAAATAGTGTGAGAATATTTTGAGAAATACCATCATGTTACCAAAACGTGACACCAAGATGTAGTGAAAACACACTGTTGGAAAAATGGCGCCAATAGATTTGCTTGACACAGGATTGCCACAAACCTTCAATCTGTAAAAAATGCAGTGCCTGCAAAGCACAATAAAGTGGAGCACAATAAAAACAGGTATGCCCATATTAAAATTACTGAGAGATACCATTTTTCATCTCTTCAGATTTTCAAAAATCCAACAACTTAAATACTAAGATCGCAAGTAATAAAGAAGCAAGCACCCTCACACATTGTAAGTGGGAGTGCAATATGATACAACTCCTATGGAGAGGAATTTAGCAATATCTAACTAGGTTGCATTAGCATTTAACCTTTGACCTAGCTATTCTACTGAAGATAATCACTTTCCCAAATATGAAATACTTATGAATCATCACTTGCAACAACAAAAGATTAGAAATCACATAAATATCTATTAGCAGATGACTGGCTGAATAAAATAATGGAGGATTATGCATTTAATTTTTAAAATTTAGGAAAATTTCTGGGAACTGACACGAAGCAAGTCCCAGTATATATTGTTAAGCAAAAATTTCAAGGTGCAGAGTATAATATATGTGGTATCAGTTGAATCGTGTCCTCAAAAGAGATATGCTGAAGTCCTAATCCCTGGTACCTACGAATGTGACCTGATTTGAAAACTGGGTCTTTCCAAATGTAATCAAGTTAAAATGGGGTCATACTGCATTAGAATGGGCCCTAAACCAGTGACTGGTATTCTTATAAGAGGAAAGTTTGGACACAGAGACACAGATATGTGTTGTGCAATGGTGGAGGTAGAAATTGGAGTAATGCTTCTACAAGCCAAGGAGTCTCAAGATTGCTGGCAATCATCGGAAGCTAGAAGAGGAGCATGGAACAGATTTTCCTACTAAGCCCCCATGAAGAAACCAGACCTGCCAACACCTTGGTTTTGAACTTCTGGCCTCCTACATTATGAGAGAATAAATTTCTGTTGTTATAAACCACCCAGTTTATGGCACTTCGTTATGCAGCCTTAGAACACTAATATAATGTGCTAGATGTTTTTGTAAGAAAAAAAATAATAAAAATGTATTTGTCTATTTACCTTTTTTTGTTTTGTAAATGAAATATTAAAGAACCAGAAATTAATACAATTATTTACCATAGAGGATTAGTTGAAAGGGCATGGAGAGGATATGTTGGGGAGTAAGACTTCTTTAAACATACCTTGTCATAAAGTTTTGACTTTATGCATGTTATACATAATTTACGTATTTTTAAAAAAGTAAATTAAAAGAAAACAAAACAAAAAAGGAAACACTGAAATTGAACACATATGTAATCAAAAGAACTGAAATATATATCAAATTGATTACACAGCACATAGAGAAAAGGGTGATTTCAGAAAACTTTTGAACACAGTACTACTCTAGATATCCTATGCAGGATATACTCTAAAAACAATAGGAAGTGCAAAATGATCTTAGACTTCACTTTATGTTTAGTGGTAGTATTAAAATTGTAAAAGACCACTCAACTCAAATCGTTGGTTGACTTATTTTTTTCTGAGGCTGCAAGATAATTCTGGACTAACAATTATAGGAATTCAGACAGCGCTATAGTAACAGGGCTCATTTGGATAAAAGGTAATACAAAAAGTAAAGAAGTTTTACCTTCTCAATACACCCAGGCAACTTACTTCCTCCTACTTCACACAGGGGTGGGGAGGTGGGGCCAGCCATCTCCTCCCTCCAAATCTCCCAACTACCTTGTGCTGCAACCCACGTGTGCAGGACTCTCCAGCCTCCCCATAGTCCCCACCCACTGCCTCCCTGTGTCAGAAACGTCTGTGCTTCTATCAAAGACCAAATCTCCCACTTAGGCTCTGGACTCTATCAGTCTGACTCTCAAGAGGGTCTGACTGCCTCTCTCCTGCAGCATCAAACTTCTGTCTCCACTAGATAATTCCCAGCAGCATGAAAAACTCCTTCTAGTAGTCCCCACCTTGAAACACAACACAACAACGAAGACCCTCTTTGATCACACATCCTCCCCCAGCTACCACTTCATTTCTCTGATCACCTGCACCACAAAATCGATCAAAATCACGGCGAAAAGGCACTATTTCTACCTCGTCATCTCCATTATCTCCTCAATGCAGTCAGCCAGGCTTTGGTATCCCCACCTCATAAGCCCATGGCCTCCCTGTTGCCAAATGCAACCATCATTTCTTTGTTACCCCTTCATTCAGCCTCTAGGCAGTGAACCACACAGCTTTCTCCTCCTCCTCCTCTTCCTTCTTTCTTCTTCGTATTTCTTATTATTTCTTCTCCTCCTCCTTCTCCTCCTCCTCCTCCTCTACCTTCTCCTCCTCCTTCTCCTTCTTTTTTCCTTCTTCCTTCTTTTTTTTTTGAGAGGAAGTCTCACTCTGTCACCTGGCTGGAGTGCAGTGACAGGATCTCAGCTCACCGCAACCTCCGACTCCCAGGTTCAAGCGATTCTCCTGCCTCAGCCTCCCGTGTAGCTGGGACTACAGGCACGTGCCACCACACCCAGCTAATTTTTGTATTTTTAGTAGAGACGGGGTTTCAACATATTGGCCAGGATGGTCTCGATCTCCTGACCTCGTGATCCGCCCACTTTGGCCTCCCAAAGTGCTGGGATTACAGGCGTGAGCCACCGCGCCTGGCCTCTTCTTCAAAAGCTTCCCTCCGCAGACTTCCGGTTTTCCTCCCTTCTCACAGATCTCTCCATCTCGGTCCCCTTCTCTTGTTCGTGGTCACCTTCTTGGAGTGTCCTAGGCTTAGTTCTCAGACTTCAATTTATACTCACCCTGGGTGAGCTCATTCAGTCTTATTTCAAATATTTTCTATAGGAAGGCCAAATTCATATATTTAGCTCTCTCTCTCGTGGGCCCCAGAGGCATTTATCCAGCTACCTGTTTAATATTTCTACCAGGATGGTCTCTGGAGTCAGGCTGTCTAGATAGGTATCCTACCCTCTACTTGTGCGGCCATGTGATCCTTAACTTTATCACCGAAATGGAGATGATAATAGTACCTACTTCATGAAGTTATTTGTGAGAATTAAATGCAAAAGTGCACATAAAGCACTTAGTGCTGGCACAAAGGAATTGCTCAATAAATACCTATTTGTTTACTTGTTTAAACTCTGCACTAGAAGTGAGAGGAGGAAACTTACCTATGTGTCTAATTCAACAAAATTCCCAAGGCCTAGAACAGTGCCTGACATATGATAGGAGATCCATATTGACTGACTGAATCGATTTCTGTAAAGGGGGAAAAGGTAGTACCTACAGAAATCAGCTCAATTGCCACAGGTTGTCTTGACTGGAAGCGTCATCTGTGGCTTTTTTCCAACTTTCCAGCACTGTATTTTTGGAATCTGTCTTCTCATTGACCAAGTCCTAGGAATGCAACTGTGGCATTCCTGCCTCTGATATCTGGTTCTGTGGAGCATGCTGGGTATTTTTCTTTAAAAATGTAAAATATGATTTATTGTTAGATCTCATTGATAAGGTTTTTTCATTTAGACTCAGTCTCAGCAGCGCTAAGTAGAAACCTAGAAAGCGGATATATACTAGGCAAAAAATATATATATTGACTACAACACGGATAAAATGTAAGGACGATGTAAGACAATGAATTTTCTTGACAGGTATGGGACTGGGCTGGCAGAGTCGGTTAAGTGCCCAAAGGGTGTACAAATACGCGACAGGGCAGAGCACAGCCCCTGCCCCGCCCCCACACCCGCCCGCCCCAGCACCCCAGACCCGCCCCAGCACCCCAGACCCGCCCCAGCACCCCAGACCCGCCCCTCCCCTACATCCCTGCTCCGCCCGGCACCCTGCCCCTCCCTCGCCCCGCCCCTCCCCGCCTGAATCCCGGGCCGAATCTCGCATCTCGGCCCCGCCCTGCACCCCAGTCCCGCCCCTCCCGCACCCCCACACCCCTGCACCCCAGCGTCTCAGCCCCGCCCTGCATCCCGACCCCGCCCTACGTCTCGTCCCCGCCCTGCATCCCGGCCAAGCCCGCAGCGCAGGGAGCGGTCTGCAGAGGCCGGGGTGCGCCGGCCACGAATCCCCAGGCACCGGTGGCTGCCGCGGCCCGAGCAGCTCGGCGGGTAAACATGGCCGCACTGACGACGGTTGTGGTAGCGGCTGCGGCCACCGCGGTAGCCGGGGCTGTGGCAGGGGCGGGCGCGGCCACTGGGACCGGCGTGGGAGCAACGCCAGCGCCTCAACAGGTAAATCCGGGAGAACAGAGAGCTGCTGTGGCGGCAGGCGTGGGGTCGAGGGGCTGCAGGCCCTGTCTGAACAGGTGCCTGCTGCAGCGCCAGCGGGAGGCGGGAGGCGCGGCGTTCGCCTCCCCTGCTCGGGGCCTGGCACGCGCCGGGCGTTGCTCTTTGTTGGCTTGTGCGTTTAACAGCTTTTGCAGAGCCGCCTCCATGTGGTTTCGGAGTCGAGGAAGACCTGGGTGGGAACCCGGCTCTGCCGCTTCCTAGCCGCGTGATAAGAACATATGCTCTCGGAGACTCACTTTCTTCTCTAAAAATTGGGAATAGTAACATGCACCTCCCGAGCTTTGGATTAACGTTATGTCTGGGGAGCCCCTGGCACAGTGCTTGGTTGGAGGGGGACTTTGTGTTCAGTAATTGGTGGCAGCTGTGTTACTGTACCGGCGCTGGGAACACAAGGAGAAAGACAATATGGGATGATCGGAGGCAGAGGTGTTTCCAGTGATCGGCTTAGGACCCTTTCTAGGTGGTGAGGACCAGGTATCTTTGTTCAGATGTTATCAGCTCAACGAGACTTTCCATGATCTCCCTCAACTGAATCCCCTTAGGCGGCACACCCAGTCCCTGTTTCTGGTTTTGTTTTTCCCCATAGCACTTAGTACCATATATTACATTACATATTTTATTTCTATTGTTTATATTTGTTCTCACACCCCTCACCCTCCCTCGCACCCCCATGAGAATGTAAGCTCCATGAGGGCAGAAAGTATTGGAAATTTTATTCTTTATTGTATTCCCAGCACCAAGAACTATGCCTGTTGTGTAGTGCCTGGAACATAGTATGCACTTACTAAATAATTTGTGGATCAATATAAACCTGAAGGAAGGCTGTCAGGAGCTGAGGACCGGTTCCATCTTTTTCCTCCTTTAAGGAAATACAGTGTCTTTACTTGTAGACCTTCAGGAAATTCCACCTACGGAAAATTTTCTCACACATCCTCTATAATTCTCTTTATTATTCTAACTCTGGCCCAAGTATCTCAGGAAAAAAATAAAATATATAAAAATACATAAAGTATTTTTAAGTATTATGCTTAAAAAAATGTGTGACCCCATGTTGCTGGGTTTCTCCATCATTTGTTCTCTAAATTCTTGTAGCAATGTCTTATCTTCTGATCTGCATTTCTTGCAAGTTGCCTGATGTTGTTATTGGTGCACACTTTTGTGGTGTTTGCCTCCTCAGGGGTTGGATCAGATCACCTGTGGAGCTCTTTCAGCCATTTTATCAATCACCTAGAGGATATCTAGCAATGTTTGGAGACATATTTGGCTGTCAGAGTGGGGAGCAGGGGGGTGTTGAGGGGCTGCTAGCATCTAATGGTTAGATGCCAGAGAACAGCCACCTACAACAAAAAATCATCTGGTCCAAAAGTCAGTAGGGCTGAGATTGAGAACCATGGTGTATACTTTCTTACCACTTTAGTAGGGAAAGCAGAGCCTCATTGTTGAGAATCTACCTCAGCATAATTAGGTAGAATTCTTCACGTGTGTTTGGGCTTTTTCTTTAAAACAACAACAACAATAAAAAAAAAAACAGAATTACTGCATGCTATATTGTGATAATGTTTAGGAGTTTACATGTTATCCATCTTTATACTTCCCCCAGCATACCACACACACATACCTATACACACAAATTCTACAGCCTGACACTGAACTTGAATATTTGTCATATGATTAAATGAACAAATATTCCTACTGACTTTAACACTGAAACCAGCTAGTATTTTCTTGAGAAGAGATAATTTTCCTGATGGCAATCTCATGATACTAGAGATGTCTACCAAAATATCTAAAGTTCCTGTCAGCTAGGGCTTCTGTAACAAAATACTACAGACTTGGTGGCTAAAACAACAAAAGTTTATTTTCTCACAGTTCTAGAAGCTAGAAGTTCAAGATCAAGTTGCCCTTAGGGTTTCTGGTGAGGCCTCTCTTCCTGGCCTGTAGGCAGCCACCTTTCTCACTGTGGCCTGACATAGTCTTTTCTCTCTTACAAGAGGAGAGAAAGAGATCTCTGGCATCTCTTCTTATAGGGTCACCAGTTCTATCAAATTAGGTCCCTACCTTAATGACCTCGTTTAACCTAAAGGCCCCATCTCCCGATAGAGTTATTTGGGGATCAGACCTTCTACATAGGAATTTTGAGGGAACACAATTCAGTCCATCACAGTTTCTTTAAATTACTTTGGAGTAATTATCTCTGAAGTTTTGAAACTATTTTATATTGTATTTTATTTTACAATATCCTCAGGGCATGGAATCTCATAAATTCCTCACTTACTATGAAAAGTGTGTTACTTTTCTATCTATGCTTTTTAGTATTTGTATATTATTTATTCATAACCCTCTTAGCTACTCCCTTTCAAATCTGAAGACCACAAATTTCTATCCACCTCTCCAATGTCATTTCCCTCTTGTTTCCAGTTGTTCCCTTGATTATTGTAGTTGCTGAATTATGACTTTTTTGAAGTATCTCGAACAGCATCACATTAGTGTGATGCTGGTTTTATACCAGCTTAAGGCCCTGTCTTCTGTTTTGTTTCTAAGGACCTTCCCTCTGATGACCTGAATTTTATGTTCCTTGGCTGCCTGAAATAACCCTTCAATAATAACTGTTTTCACCTGTGACTGTGTAATCTTACATAGTAAAAGGGACTTTGCAGATGTGATTAAGATAAATTAAATATCTTAATTATCTGAGTGGACCTGGTGTAATCACAAAGGTCCTTATAAGAGAGACGTGGGAAGATCAGAGTCAGAAGTAGGCGATGTGATGATGGAAGGAAGAGGATGGAGTGATGTGAGGAAGGGGCCATTAGCCAAGGAATGAAGGTGGCTCTAGATGCTGGAAAAAAAAGGTAAGAGGGTGGATTCTTCCCTGAAGCTTCCAGAAGGAATGTAGCCCTATTAACACCTTTGTTTTAATTAACATTATTTTAAATTGACAAATCATAATTATATACTTTATGGGGTTCAATATGATGTTTTGATATGTGTATACAATGTAGAATGATTAAACCAGGCTAATAATTAACATATCTATCACCTCACTTATTTTTTCTGGTGAAACATTTGAAATTTATTCTGTTGTTTTGAGACACACAATAACATTATTATTGACTATGGTTAACCTACTGTACAGTAGATCTCAAAATATTCCTCCTGTCTATCTGAAACTTTGCACCATTTGACCAACTCCCTATTTCTTTCCTTGCCCTCCCCACCAGCCTCTGGCAACTGTTGTTCTACTCTGTATTAGATTCCATGTGCAGTCTAAGTAAGATTATACAGGATTTGCATCTCTGTGTCTGGCTTGTTTCACTTACCATAATGTCCTCCAGGTTCACACTTTGATTTTAGACTAGACCTCCAGAACTATAAGGGAATAAATTTCTGTTGTTTAAGCCACTGCATTTGTGGTAAACTAACTTGTGGTGAGTTCATTACAGCAGCAATAGGAGACACCAGGAAAGACCTAAGAAAGCTCTCTGTCCTCATCCTTGTTTGGCTTTGAAGCACTGTGCTGGCAGAAAGTAAAGACTAAGGTAGGGTTATAAACTGCCTGCCTGCATGTAGGAGGTATGCTTCAGCATGCATACAGACCCCCTTTCCCAAAGGTAGCAAATGCTAGGACACACAGTGGTTCAATGCATCTAAGGAAATCTTTGACCAATTATTGGCTGACAACTGAACTAACCAACCAGAGATTTCACTGCCACACCTGACAAAGACTACAGACTTTACAGAATTCATTTAGGAGTGACCAAACAAACAGCAACAAAACAAACCCTGGTAAGGGGAGAAAATCTCATTTTTAGAGTTGTCACATTATATTATTTTATATGTCCAGTCTTTAACAAAATTATGAAACATGGCAAGAAGGTATGGTTCACACATGGGGAAAACAGTAAAAAGGAACTGTTTCTGAGTAATACTGGCTATTGGACATACTAGACAAAGACTTCAAAACAGTTATTTAAATATGTTCAAAGAACTAAAGGAAACTATGTCTAAAGAACTAAGAGAAAATGTGGGAATGAGGTCTCATCAAATAGAAATCTTTAAAGAAATCAAACACTTAAAAAAGAATCAAGTAGAAATTCTGGAGTTAAAAAATGCAGGAACTTCAAATGAAAACGTCGCTAGAGAGACTCAACACCAGAGTTGAGCTGGCAGAAGAAAGCATCAGCAAACTTGAAGATAGGTCAATTCAGATTATCCAGACTGAAGAACAGAGAGAAGAAAAGAATGAAGAAAAATGAACAGAGTCTGAGATCTGTGAGATACCATTAAGCATACTACCATGTGCATAATGAGAGTCCTAGAAAGAAAGAGAGAAAAAAGGAGGAAAATAGATATTTGAGGAAATAAAACAGAAGACTTCACAAGTTTGATGAAAAACATTAACCTACATATGGATGGAGCTCAATGAACTCTAAATAGAATAAACTCATAGAAATTCATATCTAGACACATCATAATAAACATGCCAATAAATATAGACAAAAAGTCTTGAAAGCACCAAGAAAGAAGCAATTCATTACATATAAGGAATTCCTCAATAAGATTAACAGCTGATTTCACATCAGAAACCATGGACACCAAAAGGCAGAGGGATGACATAAAATAGAAAAAGACTGCCAGCCAGTTGTTCTTTGTACAGCAAAATTATTCTATAAGAATGAAGGAGAATTTAAGACATACTGAGGCAAACAAGAGCCAACATAATTTATCATTAGCATAATTGCCCTACATTAAAAGGAGTCCTTCAAGCTAAAATAAAAGGACACTAGACAGTAACTTAAATCCACATGAAGAATAATGTGAATAGAGTACTGCAAATATATAGGTAAATATGAAAGTCAGCATAAATGTATTTTTGTTTGTAACAAATGTTTTTCAGAAAATAAAGGAGGAAGGAATATTTTAATGAACATTTCTCATTCTGT